TCCCTCCATCTTCCTGTCCAAGGCTACTTTCCTGCTCAGCCTTAGTCTGTTATTTTCGTTCTGCTTAAGCAGTGAATCAGCAGGTCAGCCATGGTCGTCCTTTCTTGCATGATTAATAGAGCTCATCTACTCTGCTAGTGAGCGCCCAGCTGATTACTGTGGTTGTGTACTGTATTGGCTCTTTCATGGACAAGGGAATAAGTTTGGAAAGCAGAATCATTTAACCCTTTAAATGGCCAAACTGTACACAGTTCAGTAACTCAAAGGGGAATTTTCAGTTTCTGCAAAATATTGCCTTGAGATGCAGACCTGGTCATTCAGTGTGATATGATTTAAAATGATTCTTAGTAGAAAAAACTTACCAGCTTGGATTTCTGTCCCATGGTGGTGATAGAAAACAGGGGTCACAATGTCTACAACAGAAATATAGCCATTTCATTTACTATCCTGAAAGCTTCTCATGAGTTTTTATATGTAATGTTGATAATGGTTAAATAGTAGTTAATCAGAGAAAACAACACTCTGCCTGTGCCTCTCCGCCATGAATAGATGTAAAAAAGTATGTTTCAGACCAAAACCTTATCTCAAAACTATCGTAAAACAGTGTATTGGGCATCAGTTAGTTGTTAGTAACCATTTCATGTAATAACTTTCTATGAGGCAGCCTTTAAAGGCATTCAATTTCTGGTTCCTATCCCCACATTAAAGCAATCTGAGTGACTTTGTATACATCTTGATTTAACTTTGCAGAAATGCTGAATTCCTCTTTGAGAATAACTCAGTGAGTTTGCATTGGACTCCACATAGTAAACATAATAAACCTTAGCAGGGGATTTTAAGGGATTAATCTCTTAAATAATCAGAACCTGACAGCAAGTCCAGGCTTCCATTCCCCACCCCAATCCTAGGAATAAGCCTTGGGATGTAATAAGCCTTAGATTTTAAGGGGTTAACTCTAAACCCAATGAACTTCAAAGAAACTTGTTGAGAGTTTTCTGCATTAGCGCAGGGTTCATTTGTTGCTGCCGTGTTCACTTTAATTATGGCCTGTGATTCATCAACTTTTTATTTGTTCAGTAAAAGTTTCCTTGGTTTATAGAAGCCCATGTAGTACATTTTGACCCAAGTTCTCTGTAATAGTAGAAAACAGTAGCAATAGTAGAGTTGAAGAAATCAGCTACATCATTAATTCAATGTGTTGATATGTCATCATGACCCTGACAGCCCTGACCCTGCTTGCTGTCATTATTTCCAACAGAATTTATACCTGCCTGGAACTGGAACGACAACAGAATCTAAAGGGTGAGAAAGATTTAATGCAATTGCCATTTTAAACTCATAGAAACACAGGAGCAGTAGTGGAGAGTAATGCAGGTACTCCGCTATTGCAGTAGCAAGGCTTTGGGCTTTCCTGTGACTGTTTAGATACTTTTCCAGCCCTAGACACTAGGCACATATCTGATATTTGACTTTACTCTATTTATTCTATAAGACCTTATTACCCTGATGATCTAATGAGAAACGTGGATGGAAAAAGAAACAAAAAAGCTTTGACAAGTCAATCTAATGCAGTGTCTTATACATCGCACATGTGCTTGCAACAATACATAATTGAAAGCATTTAAGTGTAACCAAGGTACAAAATATAGAGTGTTGGGGGGGCTTCTGAGACCTCCTAATCAACCTCTTGAACACCCTGAATGTCTCAAAATCAAAATTCTTATTATTATTATTACATTATTGTGCTGCTTCATTCACAATCGGTGAGCCTCTGTCGTTGGTATTATTGACTAACTAGAGTTGCAGCACTGTTTAGACAGTTGGTCCTTCACAGCCTAGCAACTGTATCTATGCCTGGAATACCTCTAGAAAACTTTACAATATGATGTATTATATCTGTAAATATGAAAACTTACCCAATTGAGTGGGTAAGAGTGAATTGTTACTCATTTCTGAAACTGAAGAAAAAAAGAGACATAAAATCTCAGTTAATGTGTGAAAGAGTGCATTACTAAACTAGAAAGGAGCACTTCCAGAAGAATACTGGAGAAGCCAGCCAACATGAGACCCCCTAAATACCAGAGTTTGTTCTTTTCCAAAAACAGTGTTAGCAAAAGCACAAAAGTAGTGTCACAATATCTACCTATGTGCTAATTTGTAGAACCGCAGAACTTCTTGGTAAATTCAGCATCTACCAGCTCAGTGAAGTTTGTTAAACTCTAATATTCTGTTTGGTGTAAAATAAAATAATAAACCTCAAATACTGTGGCAAAATGCAAAGCTGTAGACCTGTATCACCTACAAAACATAATGAAATTAAACTTATGATTATCACTGCAATGTAACTGAGTACAGTTTTGATTACTTTCCTCATAAATAGAAAGAAGAAGGGCCTGGGTTCGGTTCCCTGGCTGGGCGACCATGGCCCTTTCTATGTGCATGTTCTCTCCGTGTCAGTGTGGGTTTCCTCCAGGTGCTCCAGTTTCCTCTCACAGTCCAAAGACATGCAGTCGGGCCAATTGGACACACTAAATTGCCCCTAGGTGTGAGTGTGTGTGTGAATGTGTATGTCTATCTGTCTGCCCTGCGATAGACTGGCAACCTGTCCAGGGTGTTTCCTGCCTTCTGCCCATTGACGGCTGGGATAGGCTCCAGTAGCCCCCTGCGACCCAGAAGGATAAGCGGTTTAGAAAATGTGTGTGTGTGTGTGTGTGTGTGTGTGTGTGTGTGTGTGTGTGTGTGTTAAAAGTACAAATCCATCCATTTTTTACTTAACTACATATGCCTGAGTAAATGTAAGTAATTACCACCCACTATTATTGATATAAACTGACTGATAACTCAAGTGGAAAAAGTTTACCTTTTACAGTGCAAAGATTTTTAATCTTCAACACTGAGTGCAGAGGAGCCTGTCAGTTCTCACTGACATATTTGCAAAATTAGCTTTTTTTAACACTGCCCTCTGGTGCTTCCTATTATTTCCTTAAAAATATCTGGCTTCTACTTGACTTCTAGAACATTGACCTGGAATCTATTATCATAAACAGGATTTTCTATATTGACTCCTGATTTTGTTTCTTTTGATTCATTTAGTAAAATAGTAAGAAATAAAAACAGTAAGAAAGAGAAAGTGATTGCAGTTCCCTGAATGTCCACATGGCTGTGACATAGCCTTCCTAATGTAATCTGAGCCTTTATTCACTGAACCTCATTCATCTGTATAACATTATCGTACTAGTAGTCTGCCTATTTGCATTTGTTCCAGTCACAAGGCTTGTAACGAAACTGTGAAACATTACAAATATTTTCTCCATTAATTATTTATATTTGTGTTTGTGGGAGAAACCGTGACTAAGTCACTTATGCCTGTAAGATTAGTCAGTAAAGAATATGCACCTACAAGAGCATTTGTAGTCTTGCTCATGTATGTATAAGTAAGCATAGATCTGCACCACAGTAGAATACAGATTAAGTCGCAGAAGTGCAAAAAACTTTAGAAGTTCAAGAAGTAGACTCAGCTCTGTCACTGAGAACTTCACTGAAATGGAATTAATAGTGCATGTAGTGATACTGCTGAAGCTGAAGTGTTGCTGTGACTCTAAAAGCTGCCAACAAGTCCTGATATATTAACTATAATTTACGACATGGAGAGAATTTCACACACACACAGTTTTTTATGCAATGTTAGGACATGCGGTCATACACATTTCCCAAATGTATACTGTTTATCTAAATAGCTACATGTAGTATCCTATACTAACATATTCCAGATGAATTATTTACTGTATATGTAAGTTTCTATGAGTGATAGACATGTCCCACGTGTATTATATACATGTAATTATATAAATGAATTAATATTTCCTTAATATTTCCCATGTGTTATGTACATTATTATATGTAATGACCCACATGTGATAATTGTATCCCATGCGCATAGTTGTATGTAATTACCTATATGTGACATGTCCTGTATGTATTATATATGTAATTACCTCTATGTAACATGTTCCATATGTATTATTATAAATGTAATTTCCCATATATGATAACGTCCCATATGTATTATATATGTAATCACCTATACATAACAATAACATGCCCCATATATGCAAGTACCTACATGTAATATGTCCCATATGTATTACCTGTCTGTAATACTATGTAATATGTATAAGACATGGAACATTATGTAAGTAAGTACCTGTATGTTATGAGACTTCTCTAAGTTTAACCCCAAAGCTAACTCTACACTTAACCTCAGTAATCAGAAAGAAATGGTTTTGCCCTTTCAGTTTTGAGCTTTTGTTGAAAGCACTTGCCAAAGTCATTGTTTTCTTTGGCTTTCTTACAAAGTCAGGACGTTTTGGTCCTGAAAATGTATGAAAACAAGCACTCAAACACAGGCAGAGGAAGTAAGTGCTCTTTATCAGTGCGTCACCCAAAGCTGGTCCTGACATGTTAGACAATCACATCTGTGGCGTGCGACGCTGCTTGGCAGCTTCCCAGCAACCGAGATGCTCCAGCTACCCTGTTGATAGCTAATCCAGACCTAATCAGCAGCTTACGCAAGGAGCTATGAAACCATAACAGACTTCTGCAGATACCTGACTCTTTACATCATAAAACACGCCAAGCTTTCTCTTCGAGTCCCCCAGGACTCAGCACAGGAAGAGGCTTTTACCTGCCTGTCATTAAAATGCTGTATTGACACTTAATCCAAGCGAGGCCTGCAGGCAGACAGAAAATGATTGAGAGAAAATGAAACAGGTACGTTAGGGAAAGCTCGCTGGTGTTGAGAGGGAATGCCTGTCTCCTTATATTTTCCCTCTGGTCTCAGCAAGAGCTCTTACACAGCTCCAGTTTCTTCCCACATGCGATTGTGAATTTACAAATGCATGTCAGAAGGAACTGTACATGTAGAAGAGCTCTTGCTCCAACCAGAGAGAAAACACAAGCAGGCAGGTTTGATAGAAAGCACTCGGCAGCCAACAACAAGCTTAAATATGGAAAAGATGATCTTTATTCAATCTGTTCACACAATTAGAATGTACATATTTACATGTTTTTTTCCTTTTACAATTAATATTTTCTGTCAGACGCTCTTGGTCTAGCCTTGAGGTTGTGTCACTAATACATAATTCACAGTGCAATATGAACTTTGCGCACCCGTGTCAGCATTTGCAATGAGCCGCATGCATGAGCTAGACGTTTATGCTGGCCGACCAACCTCAGATTATTATTATTATTATTATTATTATTATTATTGTCCTGGTGCTTTGCCTCAGAGGTAACATACAGTACAACTTCTCAGAACAGAAGGGCAGGCGAGGTTAAAGCCTACAAAGACACGACTCTACCATTTCAGCTAAGCTATTGTGGGTGGGTTTTTTTTTCGCTGTAGCTTACAGTAGAGCGTAAGTAAAAAAACAAACCAAAAAAAAAAACCACATACATTCATACAGAATAATCTCAGCCTGATCCACTTCTCAATTGAAACACCAGCTATTGAGTCATCACATATCTTACTCACAACTACACCTGGCTTTGCCTGCAGTGCTAAAAGCCCCCGAGCCTTAGGTTACTTCACAGGATTCAAGTAAAGAAACACTGCACAAACAGGACCAGCAAGCGAACCAGTAAGGACAGGGCACGAGGTTTACTGACATCATTATTTAAACACATTTCGAAAGAAAGCTTCAGTATCCATTTAAATAGGTATGATTCAAACTGTGCAATGTAGACACACTTCCTGGCTGCATTTAATTAAGATTCCTCAGCTTATATGCGGAAAATAAGCCACTTTGAATCTTAATCCAATACTAATAGTTAAAACAGTCAGCCAAGGGCTTTGATGTCAGTATTGCCAACAAACCCTAAAGCCTCAGAGGTCAGAGACTGGCCACACATCGCCCCTCCCATACAGTTTGGCACCTTTAGGAGAGTTACAAGGCCGTACAGTCACCTTGATTCAGATCAGTGTATGCTTCATGTAAATGTGTAGATATGTTGAGTCCATCAATCCCTTTAAAAGAAGACAAGCCCCTCTGGTGCAGTTGCAGTCAGTGAGTGAGTCAGTGGATGCCTCTGGTTTGAAGAGTGTGAGCAGAGCTAGAGTTCAGGCCCGTGTCCCTTCCCCCCTCTTTAGCTAATGTGTTTGGAGTCCTCGGGACTTGGCAGAGCTTTGTCATCTTGATGACTGCCTCGCTTTCTCATGCCTGTGTACCCTGCCTCAGTGTTTACTTCATACAGCACAACAAAACAGGTCGTTAGCACCGAAATCACTTCTGCATACGTCGGCCACTGCGCACCATGCCTCTTACCCTAACACAGATGATACAGTACTTTTGAGGATGTGCACAGGTGCAAACCAGGGGGTGTAAAAATGCACCAGAAGACGACGATTCAACTGCACTGATTTTGGAATGTTACGCTCGGAGCACACTGACTCAACGCTCTTCAATAAACACCATCAAGCTCAAACGCTGGGCTGGTGTGCCATGCCTATGTGTGACTGCTGGAAGGCTCTAGAACTTTCTCTCCATTCACACTGTTTTATAGTGCCCTCTCTATTGACACTGTCCTAGAATGTTCTCCTTTTTTACACACTGTTCTAGAGCGTTGCCCTCCTTTCATACCATTCTAGAATGTTCGCCTCCTTCCACACTTTTCTAGAAAGTACACCTCACTCACATTGTCCTAGTATGTTCTTCCCCAGTCATACTGCTCTAGAGTTTGTCTATTCACACTGTTCTATGTCATTCCCATTCAGAATGTTCTAGAATGTTCACCCCATTTACACTATTCTTGAGCGTTCCTTCCTTTGACACTGTTCTAGAATGTTCTCCCCTTTTTACTCTAGAACATTCTTCCCCACTCTTCTGGTCTGTTCTCTGTTCACATGGTTCTAGAACATTCTTTCCCACTCTTACTGTTCTGGTATGTTCTCCCTCATTCATAGTGTTCTAGAATGCTCTCCCTTATTCATACTGTTTTAGAATGTTCTCCCAATTCACATAGTTGCAGTATGTTCTTCCTCATTCATACTATTCTAGAGTGTTTCCTACATTCACACTGCTCTAGAATGTTCTCCCCCATTCACACTATTTTTCTGGAACAATATAAAGCTGGCTGCCAACATAAGATTGTTGGTGTTGGGGATTGTTGGGTCAGTGTGCCATAGCCTTTGGAATAATATCATTCTAATGATATTCATTAAAGTATGGACAAATTATATGGCCAAAATAAAATTTTAGGCTAATTTTCAATCTAAAAAAATCCTTGTTATTATTATTTATATTGCATTCCTGTGTAAATTGTCACATTTGTGCATTTGAGTATTTTAGAAATGAGTCCTACCAAAATAATCAAATCAAATAACTTTCAATCAAATTTCTTGATCCACTAAATTGCTTCCTAAAGAATCGTAATGCAATCAAATCTCCAAGGTCACAGATTTACACCCCTGTGCATGCCTAAGCGTAATGCGAAATAAAAGAACCCGTAGGGGTGTCTGGAACAGTTTTGGTCCAAATGTGAGCTTGTGGGGGTTTTCATCAGCAGAAGAGCTGCTCGTCCAGCTCCACTTCGACCTGAGGCACCATCTGCTCTGCGGAGCCCACATCCTGCTCTGGGCCTTCTACGTCCCGTGTGCTGCTGTGGAACCACGGGTGGATGAGCACCTCAGCAGCGGTCAGTCTCTCTGAGGGCTCTCTCCGGAGGAGGCTGCGCAGGAGGCAGCGTGCCCGCAGCGACAGGCCATCCGGCAGGCAGAACACACCCCGTCGGATTTTCGAGAACAGGGTGGCTGGGTCTGGGTCGTGGAAGGGGTAACGGCCCACCAGCATTGTGTAGAGCATGACCCCCAGGCTCCAGGCGTCTGCCTGCTTCCCTGAATAACTGCCCCCACCGCTCAGGATCTCTGGGCTGACGTACGCTGGGCAGCCATGGGTGTCTGACAGAGAGTCCTCCTCACCGGTCAGAATATGACAGTCTTCCAGACCCTCCAGCTTCAAATGAGTCCTAAACAAAAGTGGACAATTAAAAATTTGTCAACAAGTCTGTTTTTTTTAAGATACATGCAGCAGTTCAGTGTTCTTTAAGTTCTGGCAACACCCACAATATTCTCAGAAAAGCACACTGTGATGTAATTTTTCACAGTAACACATTGTTATATTGCCCTCTAGTCCATAATCAATCAGATCATTGGTAAATGAAATAGAGGACTGTCCAGAGGACTCCAGTCATGAAGGGTCACAGCTCTACAGCGTTTTGCCATGCATTTAATTGACCTAATTTGGCTAATCAGCTAATAGACTTTGATTAGTTTTGATGAGTGTCCATTAAAGCAACACATTTAGCAGAAATGGTTCTACATAGTACTGAAAAGTCAAAACAACAGTTAAACCCTTGTTGGTGCTATACAGAACCATTTTTAAAAGGCTTCTTTAAATAACCATATACAACTGTTTTTCTACCACAGAAAAGAATCATTTGACTATGCAAAGAATCATTTATGTGTTCTTTGTGTCCATGGTTCTATCTGGAACTGATAAGCGTTCTATATTGAACTGAACAAGGGTTCTTTGACTCATAACAATAGTGAAACCCTTTTTGGTGCTATGCAAATATTGTTAAACCTTTGGTGCTGGAACTGCAGCAAAATCCACCACAAACAAGGCACCACCCCCCCTCTCTAAAACCCAACCCTAAATTCCTCTTATCCATACTCTTTTAATGTCCAGTGTACACAAGCAAAACTAGTGAAACAATATCCTTTCTTTTAACTGCATGTAGTGTTTCCTGCACATGCAAAACATCTATATGCTTTATTGGAGTTTTTTGGGGGGACTTTTCAATCATGGTAATTTACATTAAATCCTTTGGCTAATAACTGGCTTGTTGTCTGTTGGAGAATGTTGATGTGCGAGTACACCATCGCCCTCTACAATAAGCTTTGCCTTCACAAGGTGTTGGACTGGTTTAGAAATTTCACACTCAGTTTGCTCCCACCCTAATAAATGTAAATGGGAACAGAGATTTAACTCCAAATTTCTCATAGTTGCTTTCAGATGTTTTCATTACGAGATCACGTTGGCCCTTCGTGAGAATTCAATTTGACACTTTATGAGAGACCCTCCAGCTTTGTGCGTACAAAACCAAACAGCTAATACACACACATTACATCACGTTTAATTCAGTGGTTCAAACCCTGATTGTGGAGTAGCTCTGACCTGCAGATGTCAGTGCTTCCCCTGCTCTAACACACCTGATTGATCAAGTGCTTCTTTATTTGAACAGTTTTAGGCAGAGAAAACACTAAAATGCACAAAGGAACCACTGGTTTAATGCAATGAAACTGAATGACATGCTATTTGACAGACTACTGAATAGGTCGCTTATTTGACCCTGGCTTGGGGCATCATGTCAACCAACTCTGTGTTTATGTTAAGTGGACAGATAAACCCAGAAGGCTATAGAAGGCTGACTTGTGTATAAAACTGAATTCACTTGCTGCTTCTTTGGTTGCAAACGACTTAAAACGAGTCTTTAAATCATGAAAAATGCTACGACACCGACTGCACTGGAACAGATAGTTCCCCCACCACTGAGCAGAAGAACAAGTGGAGGGCAGAGCCGTGTATAATTATGGCCTTGTTTTAAACAAAGGCACGCACGGCGGTTTCCACAGCACCCACATATACAAAGTAAATCTCGCTCTTCTTTTCTCGCTCACGCTCTCATCAACACTTAGCTATGTTTAGCCCTATTTCCAGTAGGACTCAATCCTCCTCTGCACTGACCGCATCCCTGCGGACATTAACAGCGGCTGGGGTTTATCATCTGTGTGTGCGTGCGTGTGTGTGTGCGCGCCCAGACAGACCTTGTGCCGGTATCCCCCTCAGCGAGAGCAGAGCGTATTGTGTTTCATCACTGACTGTCAGGCTCGCAGTCTGAGGGGTTTGCAGATGACACAACAGCATAGCGCCAGAGAGGTGGAGAGAGTGAGTCATAGCGCTGTGTGTGTGAGTGCAAGTGTGAGTGTGTGTGTGCATGGAAGGGAGAGAACTAACTGTACAGAACTGCTGCTCTGTTACTGCGCTGTCCTCAGTGTGCTCGCTGCAGCTGGGTCCATGCTTTCGGCATCTGCCAGTGTTTAATTACCCTAAAACTTCGGCTGTCACATCAATGACGCATGAACATCCCCAGCCTGGCCTGCCCCCCATTCACAGCCTAGATGTGGACATGTTCCAAGGTAGTGTGTGTGGATGTGTCTGTGTGTAAATTAGGGCTGCATTATGTGGACAAAACACCAACACAATAACAGCACTACATATTGCAAAAGCAATGTACACATTAGGGCTGCACGATATGGATAATAATATTTCCATGAATTGTGACTCACAACATATTGCATGCATGGGTCTATGTATAATACTGTGCAAAAGTCAGAGGCTATTAAGTACAAATGATTCATTTTCAGCATCAGGGAAAAACAGGAAATATACATCTAACAGAAAATTACACTGAAGTCTCAACAACTAAATAGCTGCTTATTTTCAGGATTTACTGTGTCCACTCTTTATCTTTATTACAGCTTCTATTCTTTTTGAGAGACTGGCTTTTAGCTTTTCAAAGAAATCTGCAGGCCTTGTAGCTGGTTGCATTTTCTACTTCTCGCAATGTAAATATTCCCAAACACATTCAGTGTTGAGTTCAGTCCATTGTTCTGAGCAGCTTCTCTGTCTGATTTGCAAATTTTGTTCTATTTTGTCTATTTCCTTTTCTCAGTAATGACTTCTTGACAGCTACACATCCTATCAGACTCATAGTGATGAGCTGTCTTCTCACAGAGGAAGGATAGACAAAAACACATGGATTTTTTCAGCTCTGATGCAAGGGTAGAGCTTGATTTTCACCAAGATGAAAGTCCTGTTTATCTGATGGGAACAGTTCTGGTGGTCTATCAGGTTTTGCATAGTTGTTAGTTCCATTTTCTTTCTATCTTTCTAATTTTTTTAAACTCCAGTTTTGTAAAATTTGACTGGAAATTAAACAAATAATGGGTGGTCTCTGACTTTTGCACAGTACTCATAATAAGCGATCATGCTCGCACTACTCAAATACACAGCTAATAATATCACATCTCACAATATGTGCTATTTCAGACTAGATTTGTTACAGGACTCATTCTTTTTTTTCCCTTCCAAAATCCAATCCAGTATTTTCTGCTGATATCAGCCTGATACCATCTCTACTTATGATGTATTAAAAATGTGCCAGTGTTAAAGATGAGGTTTCGTCCTGACGCTGAGAGCACAAAATTAAAAAGATCTGATATGTTAGGGACTCATTTGCACACTGCAGTTGTCAGAATCACAATCACACATTGGTGTAAATTCAGTGGACAGGGTACATGTACTACCCACTTTTTGAAATTGTGTGAGACTTCTACAGCATTACACACCATGAGAATATGGTAACTCAGCATACTTTATTTACCTTGGTTTGTATATGAAATTAACAACATTTATCTGCAGCTACTATTGTATGTAGGCTATATATATATATATATATATATATTGCCCCCCCCCAACTTTTCTGTGGCCCTGCAATCACACAATAACAATTAACAAGCAATATATATCATGCAGCCCAAGTGTATATGTGTCTAGGCATGAGGTCATGCCTCATCTATGTTGTGACTGTTTCAACTTCTTTCTGTTGCTTATCACTTATCGTCACTTCATATCATTGCCTAAGCTATTCAAGGTACGCACGCCACATATCTGTTACCTCCATCTGTTTGTTTGTGCACCTGTGATAATTTGTGATGAGCATCATTGTTCATGCGAAGATAAATTCCATGTATGTGACGCACACACAAATAAAAGAGGAAACAGACTAAAAGCACAAGCCTCTGTATGACTGAGCATCGTCAAAAAACAAAAAATGTAATCCTTTATGAAAGCAGAATAATCCACTTGTGTGCACTTTTGTGTTACTCTGCTTAGCATCCTAGCAGGAAGTAATAGAAAAAAAAAAAAAAAATGATGACGCTGCTGCGGCTTTGACCCGTATCTCTGCCTAAATGTCAGCATGCTCAGGTTATGACATGGTCTGGGTTAGACAGGTCGGATGGGTGAAGTTGGCAGGGGGTGTCGCAATGTCAGCAGCCAGTTCTGCTGCTCTGTAGTTTCTGTCTGCCTTTGGCCAAGGAATGGAGAGCTTGCAGGTTGAGGATCCTGAGTGGCGAGTAGCCACCCCCCCGCACCAATGTGAAACGCTATGAGTCATCCTGCTGTACCCGCACCACTACGAGAACCGGGTGACTCTGGCCTCTTGCACATGCCTGTCCATTTCTATTCACTCACACTGCACCACTGCCCAAAGGTCGCGCTTGAAAATGTTGCCCCAGAAATGACAAACGTATCCCCTCTCCTGAACGGAGATGCGCGCCCATTTCATTCTGCCGCGGGACACGAGCTTACTGTAGCAAGCACGGGTGCATATACGTTTATAGTTAATACACTACTGTATAAATGGGAGCACATTAGATCGGACTACATTACTATTAAGAGCTTTAAAAATTCACTGGAATGGATATATTATGTCCTGCGTACTTTGTACTGCAAAAGAGGTTTGTAATTCGGGATAGCACTATTTTCTAATGAAGCATGCATAGTTCTGATTTATGATGTGCTTCCTCTTCTGCAGAAACATGAGTAGGTGCTATAGGTTCCATCTGCTGAACGGCTCTGCAGAAGCACCTGTGGTGTATCACAAAGGCGAAAGGAAGTGAGAGCTGAATGAAACCAGAACTGACGCCCATTTCTCTGCTGAAAATACCACAATCTAGAGCACTGACCACACATTGCCCTGCACCTAAAAGACCCCACCTGCCCCACCTACCTCGACACCTCTCCTCAACGTACACAGGTTAGTTTTTTATACTATGTCAGGATATGGGGCCATACATATGTCTTGTGTCTGTTATGTTGCAACTGTTGGGACCATATGTCTCCAAAAAGGTGACTTTACAGGAGAAGGAAAAAACATTATTTACTTTGAATGGAAGTTAATCAAACAAAGTCTTATTCAAAGTAATTCTGGACTGTTTCTATAAGTCTATTCGTCATGAAATTTTGACAAAATGTAAATGGCAAATGACATTTTACAACCTTGGGAAAACTGAAAATGGAGGTTTGTGCCGACAGCGCCAATATGTAGCTGTCTATTTTTAAGAAGAATAACCGTAACCTCAGTAACCAAAAAGAAATGGCTTTGCCCTTTCAGTTTTAATGAAAAATGACACATGTAGCTTTTGTGAAAAGCACTTTGCAAAGTCAGGACCACTTATTTGGTCCTCATATTGCAGATGTCACCTCATCTCTCTGATTTCCTTACAAAATCAGTTCCTGAAAATGTACAAAAACACAAAACGGCTTTACAATTACAGCCATCCTCACCTCTTTTCATCGGAGAACACAAACTTGCGAAGCTTGAGGTCCCCCAGCACTATGCCGGCCTGGTGGCAGTGAGTGACCGCTGAGGCCACCTGGAAGAAAAGCTTGGTGGCCTGTTCCTCGGGCACACGCTTACAGCTCTTCACGAATGTGTGCATGTCGCCATAGTCCTTCTCCTGAAACACATATGCCTTGCGCTCCCCGAGGACAATGTCTTTGATTTGGGCAACGTTCTTGTGTCTTGGCAACATACTGTAGGCCCTAATCTTCTCTTGGTACTGTCCCATGTCAAACACCTGTAGGTTACAACATACCATTGCATTTGTTGTAGTAGCAGGCTTATGAAAACACTAACAAGCCAAAATAAACAGCAAAATAAATGTTCGCTTAGGAAACGACATTTTAAAGGAATGCTCTGGTGTCTTTCGACCTTATCTCTAGCTGCTGCTTCTGCAGCTTATGGTCAATTACCACAGACAATAATTTAAATAGGTTTTCCAGTATGTATAAAAATAATTTCAAAAAGTGTACACTTGTAAACACTTTTAATAGAAGCCAACAGGGAGGGGCTGAAGCAGCTTCCCACTGACTTCTATTATAAACGTGTTGTGAGTCAACAAGTTTTCTGTTCTTTTCTAAGTGCAGTGAAATGCTTTGAAATTACTGAGGTAACTGACCATATGCTACAGATGTGGCAGATCTGTAAAAAAACAACAAAATATTATTCCTTTAAAGAAGGTTGTTACCAAATTTGGCTGAAATGAAGGTTAAGACACTTAATCCTAGTCACCACAGCTCAGTTCTAGTTCACACAAGAAACCGAATCTGCAGACTTGCGCTGTCAGATGGAGCCAGCTTATTGTTAAACACCAGACCGAGCTGTGATCATTTTGGCAGTCTGGCTGCAACACAGTGCTAATCAACAAGAAGAGATCAATGACTGATGGCTGTTTAATCAGTTTGACCCTGCTTCTCCATTTATAGTGTATGGTAGACTGTCTATTTCTGTTTGTGCATGATGTCTACCATGATGTGCCTGAAATATTTTCTCCTTCTGAGCTCTCTGTGGCTGACACACACACATGCAAATAACTCCTATTGCTAACTGGAGGGTGTGAAGTCTCACATTTAGTGGTAATTACACATGGCTTGGAACTGCTGCAGCCTATATAGGCTGCATGTGTGTCTATCTAAAACAGACTTAATTATGGTGTGAGTGGCAATTTTAATGCTTGGCAAAGGAATATTACTAAGATCAGAGGAAGCAGGTAAGTTGTTGCAATGCATAACACTGAGGACTGGACTATTTGCATGCAGCAGCAGCAGTTGACCTCACATTAAAACAGAAAAATGCTGTGAGTGACTATTTTACACAGAGATGGGCACTGTTGCAGCCTCTGTACATATATTGCATACCATATATGTAGATTCCTGGACATTTTTAATGCACTGCAAAGCTGTATTGTAAAATATGATGAATCTGACAAGCCTTTTCCTTGATTAATGCTAAGGTTTAAAGCATTTGGTTGCAATAGCAGTTGACCCAGTGCTCACATTAAACAGCTAAATGCTATGACTGGCCATTTTTCACCAGTGAAAGCCTCTATAAGTTGCACACCATATGTGCAGATCCCTAATCTGTCATACTTGATTGTGCTGTGATTACTACTTGGCAATGCAGTATCACCAAGATCACGAATCTGACAAGTAGTCATCCTGATTAATGGCTGAGGTTTAACCCATTTGCTTGACCTGGAGCAATGCTCACATTAACACAGTGATCCGCTGAAAGGCAGAGAAAGAGGCGCTCACCTTGCACAGCAGCTCCTCTCCAGTGTCCGTGTCCAGGGCGCTGTGGAGCCCTGCCCGCTCAGCCAGAGGCAGCAGCAGGAAGCGGCCGATTCGGGACGGACCCTGGGGGGCCGGAGGTGACCTCGGGGGGCCTCCGCTCGCCGGACATCCCGGAGAGGGGCCCAGGACAGCGGGGTCGCCCGCAGTGGCCTCGCTCAGCCTCAGCCTGGGACACTTCGCCACCGGCTCGTCACTGTCCAGGCGCTTGTGCGTGCGCCTGCCGGTGCGGGTGCAGGACGCCGCCGGGCTGGTGCTGCTGCAGCCGTGCACGACCATGGTGGAAGAGGGGGGAAGTGGGAAAGGGGGTAAAAGGGGGTGTCAGTCCTGGGGGAGCCCGTGGTGTCACATTCACGACTTTAGACGGTAAAATTCCCGCGCCGTTAACTTTCTCACTGAAAGATACGCTGCAAACCGAGCTGCTTTAGTCGTTCAGCGTCAGCTATCCATCACTTTGTGAACGGATGCAGCCTGATTGAGAGCTGGAGAACCGGGTGCATGCGCGAGCTCCCAATAAACAAATACAAACAGAAACAAAGCCCTCCCCTCAAAAACTACGGCACCGCTTTACAAACGCTGCGTGATGTTCAAGCTCTCGCGCACGACGACAGCTGGAACTCCGCCCGCTTCGAGCAGCGTTATTATTTTTGTGACCCACCCGTTTTCCGGCATACCCCGCCCATTGCGGAAGGTGATTGGCTAGCCCTGTCACGCCTCCCGCGCAGGGATAGGGTCGTAGTTTACAACTAGCCAATCCTGGCGCAGGAGGCTGGACTCTTTGAAAAAGTCTAGAGTAGAGGGGCGGGGCATCCCTGAATGCAGGGTGGGAAAAAAACCCAACGCCATTCATCTTTCCCTGCTGTGTCACATTTGCACAGCTTGATTGAGCAATCAGCCACACGTAGTCGATTCGAGTTGAATGTCAAAACCCACTTTCAGTTTGATACTTTTCTGTTTTGCCAGTGCTGTCAGAAAACAATTACTAAGATTTGTTCTTGCACACTTTGAAAAGCAAATCAAATCTATTCGACACGCTGGTGCTTGTGCACATGTGCCCATGTTTGACTGGGGAACGTTGCAATCTGCATTCATACACATTTCTTTGCATTTCTTCCTCATGGAAACACGTGTGGCAGTGAGGCAATGATTAACCCGGTTTATTTCGAAATGCATCGCTGCTCTGGTGTTTTTCTCGTTCTTAAATTCATCAAGCGCTTAAGCATGTTTGAGATCTGACAATGCTTTCATACTTGCAAGGCGTTTTCCAAGCGATTTCCTGCCTACTTACCATACATCTTCTGTTTTAGAGAGAAACTGCAGCAGAGGAATGTTTTAGTAATGCATGTTTGTTAATGTGACTCATCTCTGTACAGGGAAAGGCTGGGGAGTGGTGAGGGCCTTTATAGGCCAAGCGGTTAAGATGGTTGAGATGGTTCTCATGGCTTAAGTCGGGGGTTTTCAGCTTCAGTGCTGGAGATCCACTGCCCTGCATACCTTTGAGAACTTCCCGTTCCAACACACCTGATCCAGCTCATGAAGGGCTGTAATTAGCTGATGAGCTGGATCAGGTGTGTTTGGGCAGGAAATACTTAAAACAGTGCAGGGCAGTGGGTCTCTACACTCTTAGCAAAAAGGGTTCTGTATAGTACCAAAAAAGGCTTTTTTGGCTTGTAGCAATAGTGGAACCCTTTTTGGTGCTATACAGAACCCATCAACAGCACATTCCCCATCGATCTGAATCAAAGAACCCTTTAATCATGAAAAGGGCGCATTGAGTGCTCATGGCTATATATACATATATCTTCTTTACTAAAGAACCCTTGAAGAACCCTCTTTTTAAGGGTGTAGGACAGGAATTGCCTTAAAAGGGCCATATCTTTGTTTCTTCTGTTATTTTCCCCTGTGGTCCACTCATGACATGTGTGGTTTGTATACCAAAAATAGTTGTAATTCATTTTCTACATGACCATTTTTTAACCTTTCAGGCTGTTTTTGTTACTGTGCCTTTATGACTGATACAGGGCGTGTGGAGTGTGATGTCATAACACAGTGTTTTATGGGCAATCCGCCACTGTGGCAGGGTTTGGCATTCCTCTGGAATTGGTTAAGATATGCTAACATTTTATTTGATTTTATACAAAGCCTGAAATACACAATAAAACAGCAATTTCCTTAAGCTTTCACAGTGTGAGTTTTTGGAGCATGTAAACAACAGCAAGTAAGTGAAACCTGCCAATTTTGCGCAACAATCCTACTTTGTAGTGTGACCTGACATTCATTCCTAAGCCCTGTACGAAGGTGACCTCTGTTCTGATTGGCTGCCCTGTTTTCATTCAATCATTCAAAAAGCAGTCCGGCCTGAAACATTGCTTATAACTTCAGAGTGAATGGGCGGAGCTAGACTGCTGTAGGCTGAACAGGCAATCACAGTCGTATGCAAAAGTGTGGATGGCCCTGATCAAGCAGTATCTTTTGTTGGTTTTCTATGTGAAAATAACACATCCTTTACAAAGAATACACTTCTGCATTTTTTTTATGCACAATCTGTCTTTTTCCTGAATTTAATATACAAACATTAAATATAAATACAGTCTACGCAAGAGTTCTGACATATTTCATATTTCATGTTTTTTTCAATATGTTAAGCTTCACAAATAAATAGAAATTGTGCACAAAAATGTGACAAAAATGCTATATTTAAGTGTGTTCTCTGTAGACAAAATTAGGACAAAATTAACAAGACATTAACCAGGGCTGTTTTGCATTTGTCTGTATATGTAAATGCACCACATCATGAAAACAATGCAAACTGGGCCTTTTCTGCAGCTTAGTTGTCATATATGGAGTACAGGATGTTTTGAAACTGTAACCATGGTCATGTAGTACATGACATAGGCCCTTTAAATTGGAGCTGGGGATGGGCTTATGTTCAAATTGTGACAGGCTGGGCATCAGACACATTTTTCCTTCCAGGCTGTTGAGGTAAAGTGTCATTTTGAGCTGACACAGTGTAATCTAGGCTGACACATTTAATTGGAGAAAGAAACCTTGACCTAAATCAGGAAGTACACATTAAAGTGTTTTGAAATCAGAGATGTACTGGCCCGTGTGGACTGTTGACCAGGTTTTTTAGAACTCTTGCACAAACCTTTGTCCCCTTTTCATTGGCTTTGAGAAAGGATTAATTGAACAAGCACCTGTTTGCTTGGGCAGAAAATGTTCATGCTCTGGGGAAAGCAATGTGTTATGCAGGCTTGTTATATCATAAAGTCCATCAGAACCTAATTTGTTTGAGGTAATGAGGTTAATGAAGTCTGGCTTTATTGCCTGGATCTATTGCAGCACTGAACTAAACTATCTTCTTGAATCCATACTGAATTTGGAGTTAACACAGGCGGAATCATTTGCAGGGAATGCATCAATAACCACTGTGAGCTATATTTTCTATGTCCAAGTTGTTGGAAATGACCGGTGTGACAGGAAGATTGACCTTTTTGTAATAGCTATGGCACAGAGAGAGTGAAAAATAAAGTCTAAATTTGTAATGTGCAACTGTTACTGCCTGGCTTTACTGTACACTTAACAGCAGTTTGAAACAGCTGGTGTGGAAATGAGGCATCGAGTTCAAGTATGGTGGGAATATTGCCATGAAAAGGCTGTGTATTTTTAGCAACCATGTTTTCAGTGATCTTTTCTTAAAGATGACTCAGGGTTGGATATGTGCATTGGTCATGCAGTAATGCAGGCAGAACAGGTTTTCCTTTTTTTTACTCCTTGATACTTCTGTGTAAAATCTTTCCAAACCTGTATGGGAAATGTCAGCTTCCTCTTTGTTGTGACATAAACAGGTGTTGGGAGAAGTGTTTTGGGCAGCGTTTGCGTATATTTGTGTGTGTGCTCTAGCGAACCTGGCCATTTGAGATAATTTCCACTCGGGAGTCCTGTTCAAGGTTCTTTTCCACTGTAATTAGCTGACTCACTCACGACCAACAGTAAAGAGAGCCTGCTGATCATGCTTTCCACAGAGCAGCTAGGCACCAGGCAGTTATAGCAGGTGTAAGTTATTTTCTACAGGCAGTGCACACTGTACGCCAGAGATGACTAATACAGTAAAAAGCACGCTAGCAGACGCGGCCTTGACAAGACTGATGCATCATAATCACAGTTGAACTTTAACCAGGGGCGTTTTTGTCAGAGGCAATCAAGAAATTGGGAGCTGATCAGAATGTTGAACATTCCACAGTTGGTCAGGTGAAAAAAAAAGGCTTCACTTATGTGAGAATGCCCCTGTGTACCCTAATGCTGTTATTTAGAAGTAAACAAAAGTGTTGTGAGGATCGTGAGAAACATTTGACCTCAGAAATGGTAAAAACGGAAATGGAGACCATTCTTATATGACCCATATCCCATGTTTCTGTGGTATATGTGTGTATTTGTGTACCAGAAACAACCATAACTCTTATTTATATAAGACTATTCTGCAGCCTTTCGGTATCCATTAGAATTAGACTGTTTTAGTTACTTTTAAAACTAATATGTATCATTGCTGACCAACATTTGCAAAATGGTGATTTTACAGGAGAAGGTAAAAACATTCTTAACTTTTAGTGGAAGTTAGTGTCAAGAAATTTTATTTCAATTTGGAGCATTTCTGTTGGTCCATTCATCATAGAATTTATATGCAGTATGAAGGACAACCTCTGTGTCCAAATGATGCCGAAAAAAATGGATTTAAAAAAAAGTGACGATATGTAAATCATCACTGTTCTGAATGCCTGCCTTGTATTGTTCCTCATTCAAAAAGCAGCCCTGGCTGAAACACTGTAGCATGAATGGGTGTGGTGGGGCTAAACTACTGCTCTGCTTTTGTGACATCACAGGAACACTGAATTCAAAATGGGCTGTTTTTGCTGAATAATTTCCATATATGGTCTGTATGGACTATGACTGAATGGTATGTTTTGAGACTAACAGTGTTTACATAATGCATCAAAATCTTTTATTCCAAAAAAGCCAAGTCAAATGTTTATTAATGTCATGTGTAATTTTGGACCATTTCCATTGGCACAATGTCAAGTGCAATAATGGTAAAAAGTGGTTTAAACAAAAACAAACAGGTTTCGATATGACAGTGACCTTGTGTTTGCTCTAACTACTGAAGTCAGAGGCTCTGGACTTCAAAACAAAAGTTAGTTTCATTTCTGAATGTAGGCCCTAGGCAAGGGCTCCAAGCTGCAGCTGCCATTCCACCACTCATTACAACTATGTCACGAGAGAATGGTATTGAAAATGAAATGTACACTAGACGTCCGAGCGCATTCCTGCACCTGCCGAGTGAGCCTGCATCTGAACTGCCGGAGAGTGTTATCTCCCAGCTGGAGTCCAGCAGACTGTGAAACAGATCTAGCAATGCTTCAATCTAGATGCAAGCCCCTCTCCACAGATACTCCGTTTCAACTGGGGGTATATGCAGCATGAGTTTTGGACTTTCTGCCCAAGTAGAAGCATCCACTACCAGACTAATAAAAGATTTTGAAACCTCCACGGCTTACAGGATACAGTTCCCATACACAGTGGCTGTAGCCTTCACTCAACAGTGCCAAAGCTAAACAAGCAGTGGTGTCAGATTTCA